GCACTACTGCTACTGGTGGTGAGAAAGTGTATTGCACCTTATTTAAAATCAATGCAGGTCCTCAGCCCTCTGCGGCCCAAAGTTAAAAAATGTTGTTCTTCTAAGGCTCTCAAGGTGGCACTAAGAATCTCTGATCTACTGCACTTTAAAATGTGCAACAACCAAACATTTTTTTGAAAACGCTACTGAATGTGATTAGCTAATGGTTTATTTCCACAAAAAATAGCTGTGGCTTGGCAATGTTCTTTCATGCCTGCTGTGCCTCTGATGGGTTTTGAACTCCTTCTGCCCCTATGTCCATTTCATATTAATACTATAAATTATAGAAATTTATTCAGTGGTGTGTTTTAGATTGTTGATTGGCTCCCTTAACATAGGAAATGCTGTGTGTCGTGGTTATAAAGCTCAGTGGAGAAAGGCGTACAGAGATAYACACTGCTCTGAAGTTTGTTGATGGAAAAGTTTGAAAATCTACCTTGAAWATTCTTGAATTTTACTGTGGGAAAAGTGTATGAACCCTGCACACAAAACCTCTAACAAAAATAAAATAGACTAAAGAACAAGGAAACTCGAGATTAATATTATGGAGCTCAATCTGAACTTGAATTAAAAAGGAGTGTAAAAAGTTTCAGGTTGGATTTGAAAGACTAAATAGACTGTAAGGTTGGGCGATATTGGWCAAAAAATTAATCACAATGATTAATTGTTGTATTTAGCCGATAATGATTAATATGATTTAATACCCTGCGGTCTCTGGATGCCCTTATACCCTAGTCACATGACCAATTTAAATCACTCTAGTGGGTAAGAAATGCTCTCCGTAAAAATATGTTCCAAATTTTATCTAAAGTATAAAATTCAGGCTATATATCAATTTTTCAATTGTGTTGATAAACCAAGTATGATTAATAAATTACAGAACTTTGTTTTTAAATGTTTGTCATATTTGAAGAGGAGCACCAAGCAGACTGACGGAATTAATCGTAGTAATCAATGTTTACATAGTGTATTGCTAAAGTGTTGAACAAATATAAAACCTGACAATAATTTTTAATATTCTTGTCATAATTAAAACGTTTGCACATTTGTTTCACACCGGCCTTGTTTTACAGGTGTCCATTGTTGAAGAAAAATATGAAACATTGGAATATAAATGTTTTGAATAAAACTGAATTATTTGAACATTTTGCCCACACAAACCTGGAATTTCATTTAATAAAATGACTTTGTTATATTCTTTAGATCCTCTTCAGAAAGATGAGATAAACAGGAAAGCTTTTGAGAAGTTCAAAAAGGAGCACACGTCAGTCCCACCGTCCATAGATAAAGCCACGCCCTCTGAAAGATTCGATGGTAAGTATTTTGTACTTTACTACAACTGTAAACAAAATACGCAGGGGTTAGGTTTAGGACTAAGGTGTGAATAGTTGGGTTTTACACACGTGGACAGAATTGTTGGTGTCCCTTGTTTAATAAAAGAAAAACCCACAATTGTCAGAAAGAACTAGAATCTGACAAAAGTAATAATAAATAAATATTCTATAAAAATGAACAAATGAAAGTCATACATTGCTTTTCAACAATGCTTCAACAGATTAAAAAAAAAAACCTCATAAAACAGGCCTGGACAGAAATGATGGCACCCTTAACTTAATCTTTTGCTGCACAACCTTTTAAGGCAATCATTGCAATAAAACTATTCTTCTGTCAATGAGATTCTGCAGCTCTCAGCAGGTTTTTTGTTCCACTCTTCATGAGCAAACTGCTCCAGTTGTCTCAGGTTTGTTGCATGTTTTATCTCCTACCAAAGATGCTCAATAGGACTTAGGTCAGGTTCACAGAAGGCCACTTCAGAATAGTTCAAAAATCAAAAAGAAAAAAATTGTGTAGGTCTTCTGGACGGGCTTTTCTCTAATGAAACGTTTCGTCTCTCCTCCAAGAGACTTCTTCAGTCTGAGAGTTTCAGGCARAATTCAGGCTTTTAAGCCCTGCCTCCATGTGACTGATACTCACATCACATGGCTATTGTTGACACCTAATTAACACTTATTGTTAACAGGGGGTGGAGTGATACTGGCAATAGCCGCGCTGTAGGAGGGGGACAACTGAAAACGGAGGCCTCCACCTCTGTTTAATGATGGACGGTCTTTAAACAGAGGTGGAGGCCTCCATTTTCAGTTGTCCCCCTCCTACAGCGCGGCCATTGCCAGTATCACTCCACCCCGTTAACAATAAGTGTTAATTAGGTGTCAATGATAGCCATGTGATGTATCAGTCACATGGAGGCAGGGCTTAAAAGCCTGAATTCTGCCTGAAACTCTCAGACTGAAGAAGTCTCTTGGAGGAGAAATGAAACGTTTCATTAGAGAAGAACCCGTCCAGAAGACCTATATACAATTTTTTTCTTTTTGATTTTTTACCTGGATTACTGAGATGCATCAGGACAATAGTTCAAAAATGTTTCCTTTAGCCATTCTTGTTTTTTATTTTTTGCTGTGTTTTGGGTCATTATCTTGTTGAAGACCCATAACCTGCGACTGTGACCACTGTTTGTTCTGATGTTTTATATRTTAAGATGCTAGCAGTAAACGTTGAAACATGCAGCACCTAATGACAACGGACGCTAGGGCAGCCTTAAAGGTAGATGATATGATCCATATYAAACTAAAAGTAACTTAATACTTATTACTAAATAAACAATAATTTCATGACAACCTAATGCTTTATAAACACAGCCTCTAAAACAAGTTAGCAGGTAACATACCTCTGAGGGGATTGCTGCAGTTTGTACAGATAAAATATTTTATGAATCACTGAACAGTTTTAATAAGACTTTAGAAAGTAATTATGATATACTTCTACAAAAGAATAACTTTAACCCCAGTCATGATAGCTTAACAGTAGGAATCACAAATAACTGGTATAACTCGGTCAGTTTAACAAATGTTAACAGATTCATGAGGTGGTAGCTGAGCTATTTGTAACGCATACTCTGTATTCATGTGACTAACTACACTTTGCAATAAGTACTTCTAATTTCAAATGCTGTGCATCAAATCAAACCTGTAACTTAAAATTGAGAAAAGAAATGAGTTTTCTCTGTGAAACAGTTCAGTAACAACTTCATGTGTTTGACATTTTGAAAGAGAAAAATGGGCTGAGCTGTTCAGTGCTCCTCAGTTTCTGAAAAGGAAAAAGCGTCATACTGAAAATGATGTGTCTGACTCAGGTAGTGAAGGTAATGCAGCCCCCTGGACCACAGAGGAACAGAAACTTCTGGAACAGGCCTTGAAGACCTACCCAGTGAGCACACCTGAACGGTGGGAAAAGATCGCTGCTACAGTTCCTGGACGAAGTAAGAAGGACTGTATGAAGAGGTACAAGGTATGTCGGACTTGGACAAAAAGTTACTCTTTCATAATTTTAGGTGTTACTGTTTCAAACGATAGATCTACAGCATATTTTGTTGAACATGCTGAGTCACTTTTTTCTCATTTTGTATGTCTGATAGGAACTGGTGGAGATGGTTAAAGCCAAGAAAGCTGCTCTGGAACAAGTGGAAGCCAAGAATAAAAAATGACAAGAACCACAAGTGATGATAGAATCTGTCATTTTAACATTATTGTTATTCTTTATTTTCTAATAAAAAAAGAAATAACTAAAACACAAGACATAATTATCATTTCTGGTTTCATGATGTATATTTGATGGTTCCTAATGTCTCATCCAGAACATCCCACTCCGGATCTGGTTGTAGTCAGGCAGCTGTTCAATTGGACCTGAGGAAAACAGAAAGTGTTTTCAAAACTCACACAGGCTGTCTTCAACTCAGGTCAGCAACTTCTGCTTTGAATGATCCGAAATGAGGACTGATGGTAATAACTTAAAAACAAATGAARTTTTATAGTTGTTGGATGTAGGGTCTTGTTAAAGATGCATTAAACAGGTCAACATACCGACTGCTGCAATGGCTGGAGCCCTGTTGTAGATGTACTTGGTGCACACCTCCTTAATGGTGTTGGAGTCAATAGCCTGTGGAGGAGTTACTCATTAAAGTTTGCAACRTTATTCCACCACAGTTCTAATTTAAAACTGTCAAAAAAGCGTTATACATAAATTAAAGTGTTATTTGGGCCTAATAAAATTCATTTTCATTTTTCTAAATTCCACTTTTTCCTTTTTTCCCCCTGAATTCCACATTTCCATTGTAACCATATTTATTAACAAGACAACAATAATTATCAATATAAATATAAATTATATATATAATAATTTAATAAATAGCCACAAACATGAATTAATGTCTGTTATTTCACTCTTACTAATATAATAATAGCTGTGGTTCAATAGAACATTAAATTCTTTTTGCAAAGTATATAAAAGTATTTACTAAGGGAAAAAATGTGAAAAACAATCTCACAATGGGGGGGGGGGGTAATTAGACATCACCTCATTGACATACATTTAGCTCTAAATTCCACATTTCAGCTAATCTGAACACAATTCGTTATGGTTGATCCTAATCCACCCCATGACAGGAATGCAGTCCAATTTTTGGGGGGCGTGGTTTAATTCCTCCACAGTACAATTATTTAAAAAATAGCCCCAAGCCATGCTTGGACCTGGAGTCATAAAATTTGGTACACATGTAAAGTCTCGGGACCTAAAAAAAAAAATCTCTTGGAGTCATGGTCCAATCCTCACTGGAAGTTGGACGTTTTGGATCAAAGCTGCCAATTTGTCTCTTTTCTTGCACATGTATCTGAGCTAACTCCCCCTGTCTTAGACTTCACATGTTGTATGCTTCTCTCAACATGGACTGGTGGCAGGATGGTGTGGGTGTGGCAGAGTGGCGAATGCTGATGCCTCGCCGTTTGCAGACAGTTAGCTCTAAATCACACATACATGATCAGACCTGCGAACTAAAAGAGGCCTGGAGCAGATCTCAGCTGGCTGAAATGGACCGCAACGTATTTATTGTGTGACTACGTCTGTCTGGTATCAAACAAAACAATGTAATTTCCTTACTTCAACGATCCTGTGGTTCAGTATTTTTTAAACTAACTAAACAAGTGCTGTTCTGTGTCATCTTTAATATTCCCTCAGTAATAAATCTTTWGATTAATCCTGCGGTCGCTCACTGATGTCATCAGCTCATTATTTTCTGAGCCGCAGAACGCAGGTTGGTTTTTCACAAGTGGGTCTGCCCGGTTCATGCTCTGATACTACCTCGCTTTGGGGGCTCAGATGCCGTGTTTCCATCCGATTTTAATTTGAATTTTGAGCAAATTTTTTAAAATTCGCAAAAATGTAAAAACGAAGAAATGCGAATCAGACGTGTTTCCATCAACTGGCTTGAAGCGAATCAGTTACGTCAGACGCATGCGTGTAGTAAACRGGRAGTAAAAGTCRCATCTCAGGAAAATGGAGAGAAGTTATCAGGAACGTGTTGCTACTATCGGTTAAGTTGTAATTATTCTATCAACTAGTTTTGGCGATTTTACATGCAGTCGGGAGACGTAGAGGAAGTAATGCAATTCTTTTCACATTACGGGAATAACTGAGAAGACACTGACAGGGGGATGAGGTTCCAGCTGCGAGTCGCGGCTGCACTCGCTCTGGTACCGGGACCGGTTTCGGACAGACAGCGAGAACAGCTGATCAACATGTGAGGTAAATGTTCGCTACGTCAGAACTTATTCGAAAAATGTGTTTCCATCTCTCTTTTTGCGCATCAACTCTTTTTCGAAAACCCCAAAAACCACCTCAAGAGAGMGTATCAACTTTGATACGAATTAGAGGACGTTCTTTCGAAKCAAGCTGTTTCCATTCACCTTTTCTTATGTGATACTTCAAAATGCGCATTAAAAACCTTGATGGAAACATGACTAGAGGCATCAGCGGCAGGCTCATTTTACTCCCCTTTCCACCTTTGTGCTTTTTCTGAATGATCTAAGGAGGACAGAACACGACTGAGCCGTCTGATGAATGAGGCTATAGAAGGCAGCACAGCAGGAGGTGAAATGCTGTATGAGGGAATCAAATATCAGCTACAGGATGAAGGTGGAGCAGAAACTACAGAACAATATGAGGGAAGTCTGGGAGGGTGCGAAAACCATCACAGGCCACAACACAAAGACCAGAGACACGGGGGGTCAATGGAGAATGTGAACAAACTAAACAACTTTAACAGGTTTGACAAAACCATTTAGCTCCTCACCCTTACCGCAGCCACCCCAYCTTCCCTCAGCACCCCACCACCCAGACATCACAGCAGCCCTCTCCTCCTCTGCTCCCATTTAAACGTGCTCTACATCCCTGTGGACCATCAGAAGACAGCTGAGGAAGCTTCACCCCAGGAAAGCAGGCCCAGACGAGGTGTGTCGATAAGGAAAGCAGTACTGTGAGGATTCTCTTCCAGGATTTCTATATTTGCCTTTAATAATACACTGAAGCGTTTTGACGCGCGTCCAAAGTGGCAGACACTTGAGTTGGAAAATATRAACTTGGACCGTCAACCGATTTGTGACGTAGTGGTGCATTTTTCCGATGAGGGCGGTCTCCTGAATGATGCGAACTAACCTGAGACAGATGGACAGAGRACAGGAAGGAGCAGCAGACACCACCACTGATAGATTTCAGCTGGTGTAAAAKAATTATGTAAATGCTAAATCTATAATGGTATGTTAATTATTTTATTTCTATTTGCATTGTTATACCTGCTGTCACTTTTGCTGTCTTTGTGATGATGCTGGAACTCTAATTTCCCTGAAGGAATTGTCCCAAAGTATCAGTGAAGTCATATCTAATCTATTTTTGATGTTCTCAACCTGGGCCTTGTTCTGAGGATTGGACAGTGTAGATTGCGATTCACTCACCTCAATCCGAGCCTCCAGTTCATGCAGAGGGATCCTTCGATTGTAGCACAGCATCTGCCTGCCAATGTCCTCACAGATTGGGGTGGATCCTGGATTAAATCAGTCCATATCAACAGAGATTAACAGAGTACAATACACAACCACACGATTCTGTCAGGCTGCCTTACCATCAAGATGCAACAGCATGTTTGTTTTAAGGAGATTCTTGGCCCGATCCACCTCACTTTCTGTCACGCTGGTACAGAGAGACATCCTGACAGGAGAACATGGATGTGTTAAACACAATCTTACTCCAAAAATTAGCTGAGTACTAAACAATCCGGCTGAATAGTGTGAACCTGCTTAAACAGCAGTAAGTAGAAAAAACAGTAAAAAGGCTGAGTCGACATTCACAGCCCCACTTCAGGTCTTCTTTCTACACCATTAAAGATATATTCTATTCATCTGTCACTTAAACCCKTCCTGGTGCACTCACCATTCCCTCTGTGTGAAGTGCATCATGTCACTGATGGTGCCGGGCTCACACACCATGTAGAGCCCCCACAGGCCCGTGTCTGTGTAGCAGGTGTTGAAAGACTGGAAGCTGTGACACAGGTTTCCCTGACAGGCCATCTGAGCCAGTTTGCTGGACAGATTCTACTTTCACACAAAAAACAAGAGACAAAGCACTAAAATAACTCACTTTTTTCTGGTGTTTAGAAACTTTCAACAAATGACCGTAAAAACCAGGGGCCTCATGTATCAACGGTGTGTACGCCATTATCCACGCAAAACTCCGGATGTATCAAAACTCAACTGAACGTGGAAATGTGCGCAGCCCCACGCCAACTCCAGGGCTGGCGTACGCACGTTTCTGTGGTTTTGGTTCCATTGGAGACACTTAGAGGTGATTCTGAGAAACTGTTCATGATGTGAAAATGATTATTGTTCACACCACGATTAACAATTATTACATCCAGATGGACGCAGTTAAATAAAGGACGTGCAAAGTTGTGCCAAAAATACATTTAACAGGAACGGATTCAGTCTTACTGGAGGATATACACTGCTCAAAAAAATAAAGGGAACACTTAAACAACGCACGCTAACTCCCGATCTTAATCAATGAAATATTTGCATTGAGTACTTTGTTCTGTACAGAGTTGAATGTGCTTCACAAAAGTTTGATTTACTTGGACTTAGCGTGCGTTGCTTAAGTGTTCCCTTTATTTTTTTGAGCAGTGTAATAAATAGTGTAACACAAAGAGCTTTTATTTATAAACAGATAGAATTTTCTGATGACGAGTGGCTCATCAGCCGTTTTGAGGAAAAAAAATTTTTTAGTTTGGCACTGCTGCGCTCTGGGAGCGCGACGCAGCGAGCYGCATGCGCCACGCGTGCTACTGGGGTTCCACAGGAGCTTTCCAGAGGGAGCTGGCAGACCGATCGGGGCTGTGCCAGTCCAGTCCACCCAAAGCTGAATCATGACCAATGGAACGGTTTCATCCATATGATTCTAAGGCTGAGTTATGGTCGCGCTCTGGAGCGCGCACCCTCGCCGGCAGTGGAGGTGTTTCATACTTGGCGTTTACGTTGTTGCAGATTTCTCCAAAATGACACGTGGAAGTWCACTTTAYAACTTGTGAAAATGCTGTAAGTAGGAGAGCAAAAGCTGGACAGACAAACAGACTGCGCACAAAGGATGAGGCGCGCGCAGCGTTTGTGGAGACTCTCCAACATCACATCATGTGAACTCTCTACTGAGACGCAGAGACTCGTTTCTTAATATCAGCTAAGAAATAAACTAAGATCTATGTTCTACCAAACATTTAAGTTCCTCTGTGTTTACAGTAATTATGGTAATAAACTCGTGCGCAAAG